ACTTCTCTTGTCATATTGTGTAATAACAGTAGTCCCTCCTCTTTGACAGAATATTTCTTGGCAATGAGGAAGATGTAAGCCTTGGGAGAATATTGTAGACATGATGGATTTTCACTCTACACTTTCCAGGACCAAATGATCTGTAAGATTCCCCATGGATACTCATCACAATTTGCCTTAATTTCTTGACTTTTTATGTTTGCCAGAGGGGGCTGGGGTGATTAGAGTTGCAGGGGGAGGGGGTGTTTATGAGCATGTGTGCAAAAGGTGAGGCTTCAATGATTATTTTAATGAGAAGGTGAGATGACTCTTTAACCCTATGGGATACTCTCTTGCAGCATACACATGCCAGAAATCCTGGTGAATTTCTCCAAGTCATATATGTTTTTCAACAGTATAAGATAAGTAAAATTGTCTACAACACATTGGCTTTCATACTGGCTTTGGGACTGGCTTTGAGACCCTGGAATGGAAATACACAATAAATATAAGTGTACATTGATGAAAGGAACTGATATGGCCACATTCCTTTGCAGTCTAGCTGTTATTGGAAACTGCTATGTAGTGGTACAATCCCCATAGGGCAAACATGTTCTTCAGTGCTAAGGTTTTAGAAAGTCCAAATTGTGAATAATACCACATCTGTGTTCCCACTGTCTTTGTTGTGAATTAAGCAACTGTAAAGATCCTCCATTAGTGAGTCGGGTGTACTGTGAAATGCAAGTGATTTAACCAAAACCAGAACAGAGTAAAGGTATGCATGCAAAATAAACTTCTAAGTGATTAAAAAGAAAATCACATCACATCACAAGTAGATAACATGCCCATGAAGAAAAAAAAAAGTGCATTTCATGACTAAATACCCAAGACATGCTTATCACTCTTAATTCAGCATGCACAACAACATGCTGAGGTGCCATGCAGAAGATAGACATGCAAGAATCCAGTTTCAGTAGTTGCAAAACAAAACAGGCATTTAATCAGAACAGCTCCTTGATCTGCCAGACTAGAGCCAGACTGGCAAGCATTGCAGGGAAAGCAGGGGAAGAGTAGGAAACAGGCTTATGGCACAGGGGGAAGAAAATATAGTCGATCCAGTTAACTTAAAGTATCAAGTCTTCCATGCTAAAAGAGTGACCAAAGAGTGCCCCTGAAATCCTTCCACGTGGGTGAGGATTTCAAACTTTCTAACATAAAAAAATAGTTATGAAAACAAGTTTTAAAATTTCCACTAAACTAGAACCCTTTCTCCTACCAATAAAAAAATAAACTATGAATAAGAACATTAGAAATACTACTGAGAAAAAAAATAGGAATATCAAACAAATTATCAAATACATGGAATAGACTATATCCATTAAACTATATGTCAGTGACCTTCTGCATGAAAAATGCTATCTTGGACTTAAGAAATGCCAATAGAAAAATAAAGGTACCACAGTCAGAGCTAACGTTCTTAAATAATCAAGCTTTCTACCTAAGGTTTTAATCTTTATAAGGAAAACTTGGAAAACTAATCCTGAAAGAAGTGCATATTATTTCTTTCTTTACAGGCAGACAAAAGGAGTACAAAGCAGTTTGGGCAGAGTGATTTGTTAATGATGCTGAGACAGCACTGTCTCGGCTGAGCAACTGTAGTCCAGGGACAAATAGGACCAGAAAATCTATGAAAGGTGGTTCAGCAGTTCCTCTGAGAAATTGTCACTTATCATAAGCATTTTAGACAGAAGGTAAAAAAAATATTTTTAAGGCCGATTTCTCAAGAGATAAAATCAGAAAGCAGTTTTTTATACTGTGTACAGTAGGCCTCAAGTGGTCTACCTCTAAATGTATCAGCAGAACCCAACTGGTCACTGTTGCAGTCATGATATTCAAGGGAAGGACTTCTGGATTAGAAAAAATCAGTTTATGGCTAAAACTCCACTATTATCATTGTAAAGTGCTGAGAACCTCAAATACTTCTCTTTCATAAAGAGAAATAAATAAATTAAAATTCAATGAAATAAATAATTTAAATAATAAATAAATTAAAATATTAGTCTTAGAACTTATTTGATATTCATACAATTATTGTGGATTAAAGGAGAACATCCATGAAATTTGTCAGTATCAAGGACAAATACTACCAATGAAATGAGAAAACCAGCTAATGCTGCATGAAGCATCTTGGCAAAAATTCTTCCTTATATGTCTTCCTTGAATTCCCTGTGTACATTTCATTCATTTTTTATAGCTAAGACTGCATTGTCATGATGAAACTTTGAGCAGGTGAAGAATATTTCAGCTTCATTTGTTAAAATCAACATAGGAGCATTAACTGACCTTCAACAGATTGATGTGACTGAAAAAATGCTTTATTTGATGTATTTTAAGAAGTGTATTTTTTAATGAAACCTAAAGAACTGAATTTTACTTTTAATGTTAATTGTTTGAGCACTATAAAATGCTATACAAAATGAACTACTTTTCTATAAATTCTTGCTTAATATTTATATAAAAAACCCTAATCTTATAGTAATTTATATGATTTTTTATAATAGTAACACTGCAAAAGTACTTTCTAAGAAAAAATGCTGAATGATATAACTAAAAATGACATTATAAATTTTTCCTAAGGAATCAGCTATTCATGTTTGTTGCAATCAATCACAGAAAATCCCAATATGTCTGTGCAAAGGAACTTTCTATAACAAAATTTTTTTCCCCTTCACAAATGGTAATGTTGAGATTGATAGAAATTATTCCATGTTTGAAAGAACTGTAGAGTCAAGGTGACTGTAATTCAATTCCTCAGCTGATTTGCACTCAGAACTCTTTGTTTGGACAAAGTTCCTTACCATAAAATATATAGACAGATAAAAGGATAAAATATACCAGATCGTAACTCTAATTGGATATTAGGGTTATTAAGGGTGTTTTCCCCACATTTATCTATTCAGTAAAATGAATTACAGTGATACTTCTGTTCACAAAAGGATGGTGTAAAATGAGCACTTTGTCTGAGAAAGACAGTAACAAACTAATCGAGTGCTGTTTGGTGGCACTCTTCTCAATGATTTCCATAAATCAAGGCTGATCATACCTGACCTCTACTTTGCTTCTCAGAAACATTGAGCAGTGTTTCTGAAGTCTGGATGTTCCAGCATTGCCTTTCACAGCTGGTGGGTTGAATAAAGCTTGTTTTCAAGGCAATGCTTTTTTTCCCCTCCCACAAAAATGCATCTGGCTTCAGCACAACAACCATTTGCAGCATCTAACTTCAGGGCTCAACAAGTGACTTGAGAGGTCAAAAGGCAGTCACTTTACAGATGGAACTCCAGGTGGACTTTGGGAGATGTTAAGGAGTAGTCCATTTCCACTTCACCTAAAAATTAGATTATTTAAGATAATTTAAGACTTATTTCCACTTTTTGTAGTCTAAACCTATCACCCTAGTTTTTCATTCACTTGTAAGGCCATCTGATCACCCTATGTCCATTTAATGTCTTTCAGCTCTTTAACCTGTGGTTTCTTACCACAAGTCTGTCATAGCACATTGGTATGATACACAGCAAACACTGGAAGAGTCATGTCTTTTATCTTCTGAAATTCTAGTCATTAGAGACTTCATTCTCTATTTCACTGCTCCCCTTCATGGATTTCCCAGTTTACTTGTAGCTGGAAAAGTCAAAACTGAAAAACCCAAACTGTCCCTCGTACAGCACATTTGCTCTGCCTCAGGAGAGGGTCAAACAGGCCAGGGAGCCTTCTGAGAAACAAAGGGCTTTTTTGCTGCTGCTTGTAAATGTCAGGGCAACTGTAAGAAAGATCCCAAAGATCTCCATGAAAGTATTTCTTAAGTGAATTGTTGATGGTACAGTTGTGTAAATCCTGAAACTAGGTCATTCACATTGGTGCAGGGTGCTGTTTTTTAACTCAAGCCATGACTGAGTCTCTGTAAGTTTTAGCTAATCATTTTCCCCCTCTGAGCCTAAAGCAGTCCCTCTGTTTATAACTGCTTGTCTTTAAAAGTCCTAGAGGAGATGCAGTATTTTTCTCTCTTTTGATGGAACCCTCTCCCTGCTGAATCCCAAGTTTGTTCATTTTCTCTCTACAAAAATCTGTGTCCTCCCTCTCCCCTTTGTGAGAGTCTTTCTTTCTCAGCCACATCCTTATGACTTTCCAGCTCTGTGTGAGCCTGGGCACGTCAAGAGAGGATGTAAGCCACAAGGCAGAGATAAGAAAAACAACAACTAGTTCAGAGGTGTACCTGTGGAGAGCTTGTTGAGCAAATAACTGAACAAACAAAGCTGGTAAGGTTTAGAGTGTCCTTAAATATTCTCTCCTTAACTCTTTTCATGAATATTATTGCTTTTCACTCCTAGGGATATGTCTCTTTACAGTATGTCTAGATTTCAGCAGGAAGAGTATTTATTAAATAAGGTCAGGGTCGACTGACATAATAGTGTGAGAAGATGCTCATTCATCGTTAGAAGCTCTATCTTCTTTTTTTCAGTGAGGAATTAAGTGTCTGTGTTAGAACAGATTAGCATGAAGATGTGGGAAGAGAGAAGATAAAGCACAGAAGTGGTGGATCAGTTAAGGTATTTTATATACTAGCAACAATGGAAGTTCTATTTTTGAAGCATTCTGGAGTTAAGCCTTGCTATTTGTGGAGAAAAAAAACCCCAATAAACCAAATAATCGGCTATTAACAATAAGCTCCTTCCTCTTGCATCTCAGCCAAAAGAAGCATGGAAAATTTCAGCAATTTCTACAGCCTTCCATTGACTCTACTTTTAACATAACCTTGATTTTAATTCATGCATTGTAGACAGAAAATTAGAAGCTTTAAGAAAACAGCCATTAGCTCTTATGCTTTATTAAAACTATTTGCACACTCTTTGTTGCTCTTGTGAGACCTTTCAATAATAAAAAACCCACACTTTTAATACATAAAGGAGCAAAAACTTGCAGGGAAACAGAATATTAGAACAGAATTCAATGATAGAGGAAAGTACCTGGATAAAAATCCCCTTGTGCAAACATGTCAATCACATAGCGACAGAATGCATATTGATCTAACAGAGCAAAAAAAAAAAAAAAAAAGAGTAATGAAGAAAGTGAATTTAGAATGTCATTTGTATTTAACAGTGAAGATAAAGTTTGGCAGTGCAAAGTCATCTCAGTAGCCTTTTCATAGGTGGTCTTACTTACTATATATTTCTGGTTTTTTTCCTGACCTTCAAGTGGTTCACGTGTTTAGAAAGTGACAATTTGTTGTCCAGATCTAATTCAAAACCTCTAGCCAAGAAGTGCAGAACTTCCAGTGTCCCAGAGCTTCCACCTTTTTTGCTGGGCCAGCTTTGCTTGGCATATATCCTAACCCCATGCACAGGTACCAGGCAAACAAGCACAGTGCTAGCCACAGGTCTCATAGACTTTTCATCATCCATGAATATCAATTTCACAGACAGCTGATAGATAATTTAGAGAAAGGTTTTGTATCACTGTATTTTGTTAATATGTTTTTACCCGTATAATAAATATGTATATTTTGTGAATATAAAGAAAACTCTGCGTACTTACACTTCTATAGCAACAAGATTTTCCACAGATTTCTACTGTTTCACTACAGAATCATTTTCCAAACACTGACCTTTAAAAATACATATTTATATATTAAATTTGTATAATACATCTATCAAATTTGTGTATATATATATATATATATATATATATACACACACATACATTTTTTAAAAATAAAGGCTTCTGAATCTAAATAAAATGCTGATTTCAGAAGTGTTGATTGTGATTTCTCCTATACATAAGCAGAGCTGGAGAGCTTAATAAAAATTTCTAACATTGGGAATGGTGAGGAAAATTATCAGCTTTAACTGAGCACAAAATAACTTCAATATTGCTGTATTCTTCAGCAGGTCAGAAAAAAAATCTTGTTGCCCCAGTGGACTCTAATGAGCATTTGCTTTGAAAGCTAATGTTGATGTCTAAATGCCAGTTGTGGTTAGCTAAGTCAGTTCTCAGTTTTCCTTGAGTGAAGCATATTCATCCCTGTGTCCAAGACTCTTCTAGCACAGTTCCTACACTGTAGTAGTTACATCTCTTCCTCTCTCCACCTCCTGTGGCATCTCTGTCCTACTCACAAATCCACTTTCTCTCCCCATTGCCAACTCCAAAATAAAATTATGCTGCCTTTGGAATAATTAAAGTTTTTAAAATAGCATTGCTGTTACATTTAAATGCAAACTGTAATTGCCAAGTTTGTGACACTCGTTGCATCATTGACTTTCATATGTAGGTCACTGCTACATCAGTATCACTTGATGCTGAGGCATTTGTGTGACTGCTGCTTTGTTGACTGATACAGCAGTCCTTGGATGAAGAACTACTGCTTTCTAGTCATTATTTCCTATGCAGATGTAGAAATTAGGAAAAGGTTTACCAACTCAACAAATATACAAACATTTTTTCTAGTTGATAGAAGCCTAGCCAGCTGTTTTGTTTTAGTGAGGTGGCATGGGCCATACTAGTAAGGATTATAGAGCCTGGGGCAAAACTTTGAGCATGTACTCAGGGCTGTGGCTGTAAACATTGCCTTTAAAACCTCTGATGAATATTCATAATAATTTTTACTTTCATATTTGAGAATTCAAATTTATCATTCTGGTTGACTCCAACTTTGCATTCCTTCCTTAAGGCTACAGTATCTGCCCTAAGTCTATATGATACTTCTAAAAAACACCCTCAAAAAACAGTGTGTGTGTGAGAAAACACATAGAGATCTGTTTCCTTAAGCCCACCAAAAGCTACTGACTTTGACGCACTTGCAATAGGGTCTCAGTGAGTATTTACAAATAAAGTGGAGCAATTCCAACACTTCAGCCCAGAAAGCAAATTGCAGGGCACAGCTCTTGCACAAAACCCTGTTTCTCTTAGTTCTCTTTTGCCAAAACAAGCCGCCCCTACCCTTGCTGCCTGTCGGGAAGATTTCCTGCACCATCTGGGCCATTGTACCAAAGACTGCAAGGGGGTACAGAACAAAACGATGGCAGGGGACACCACACTGCATGGACAGTGCCAGGGCAGAGCACAAGCCTGTGCTGGTTCTGTCTGAGTTGTGATATAGACATAACCTAAGGCCCTAGAATCACACCATTGCATTGATATTAAAATAATCGATTCTTTAAACTTAGTAGTATGGACCAAAAATAAACCAGACTGTGTTGTTGATTTTGTTTATCTCTTTTTTGTTGTTGTTGTGGGGGCTTTTTTCTGGGGTTATTTTGTTTTGTGGAAATGTGATTTGAATAAACTTTTAAAAAAAGGCTTAATCTTGATTGTACCTCAGAAATAAGATTTTATATTACTTTCTCCTTATATAATATCTTTAGCAACTCTACTTAAAAAATTGGATTTAAAAAAGAAATTGGAGGCAGAATGTAAAACTCTCAATAACAAAAATATAACTTCCATATGGCATAGCAAGGTGCACTATAACATCCTATTTAAGTTTATAGGAATGATACCAATCAGTAGAGATTGAAATCTAAGGAATTTTAAATGAATATGATTTTTCAAGTGCCTCTTCATGGCTAAAAATCCATTTTAATTTAAAGTCCTTTATTAAAAGGGGAATTTCACATTTTAGTTTTCACCCATAGCTCTGTAATGATGACACAAATATTCATATAAGTACTAAAAGATCATGTCAAAATTTGGGACTAGATTCTTAATGATAAAAATACTCATTTTTTTGTCATTGGGCGTAATGTGATTTACCCAGGAAGATGACCTCTCTTTTTAAATTTTAATTTCAGTATGAAACTATGCAAAAACTCTTATGTGATCACTGCTGTATTTTTTACAGTTTCAGATAAGCTGGCAGAACTACTCCCTTGAGCAAGTAAAGATTGCAGGATCAGGAAATCTCTGAAAAACTGCATTGATTATGTTCACCTTGGGTCACAGTGGGACTGAAACATAAAGATGAATTTTTTAAAGCATCCAGCAGGGCAGCAGTGGTTTTTGGTGGGAAAAGGAAGCACCACAGTAGGAAATGCAGCTTCCACTAGATGTGGGGAGCCCTGTCTCCAGTAATAAAGGCAGTTGAAGAGGCTCCTTCCTTCCTCCACTCCATCTGCTTATTCTCATTTTCACCTGCTGGGATTCCATGCACAGTCACTGGGTAACACTCTAAAGCAGACTTGCAAAATGATCTGTTAATATTTGATGTCAAGATAGATCATTTTGCTAATATTTATCAGCTAAAGTTGTTGGGAATCCCACAAAACAAAAAAAAAAAAAAAAAGCCCAACAAACAAAAAACCACCACTATTCTATTGTAATCTTTGATCCCTACTTAAAATATTTTGTTGTCATCTGCACAGCATTTCCCTTCGAGAGCTTTATCCTGAACAGTATGGGGCATGCCCCACTGTGCACTGAAACTCTTCCAGAACAAACAAAAAAATTGAGAGATTTTCACCTCCCAAGTGAACTGAACAATTTGCTGAACTTTTTCCTTGGTCACAGCAATCAGTGTGATAGATGCTGCTTTGATTCCATGCCTCAAAGGTGCCAACATCTCAAGTGAAGGACAAAATTAACTGGAATACAAATAAATGTTAAAAAATACTAGTTCAGCACACTATGTATGTCAGAAAGTGGGCTATGTGTCAAACTCTCTCAGTTTTCTAGAAAAGTATAATTTAGGCAACTCCTAAGGGCTCCAGGGCAATGGTTATGAAATTCTGAAAGAATCTGATCAGGCAGACTCAGATATCCAGGCAGGGACAGCTTCTTTGATGTTCAGGCACAGCAATTTATCTGTGGTTAACAGCTGAAAGGATCAGATAGGGGCTCTATGCAACACTGAGCTGCCTCTTTCAATGTCAGAATAATCCCGTGGCTGCAGTGTGGCACTTCACACAGAAAGCCAGGTCCTGCTGCCTTCATTCATACAAAATTGTACTCAGTGCCATGGAAATGCCACAGGGAAATCAGGGAAGCAGTCTGTGCAACCTGGGACTAGAAGAATGCAGGCTTATTCTGACAAAGTGGAGCACACGGTTAACACCTTGTTAACCATCTGGTGTTGATGCATGTTGATTCTTTGTTTAATCACTTAATTTCTTCCTTACACTAGACCAACAGGATTTCTTTCCTTTTTGGAAGAAATTTGGAAGCTGTTCACATTAAGTTATATGAGGCAGGTATGTCACTATAATGCACAACACCTGACAACCTGACTGCCTCGTACAATATGATGTTAGATAAATTATTACATTCCTTTTACACTGTTGCTACTTTCTTTATGGTTACAGAGGGCACATGCAGATGTAGAAAAAAACCTAAATTCCCAATAGGTTATTGGACAGTCTGAATTTTCAAAAATAACTCTGCTTGCAATCTACTATGTTAGATGCTACTGAGCAAATCCACAAAGTCTCAGATCTATCTGAAGAGAAATTGGTCCTTGGTAAAGAAGGATTTAAATGAAAATGAAACTTTAGCCATGAAAACCTTCTAGAGCCTTCTGATTATATACCTTAAACTTATTTTCTGTAATCACGTCCTAGCAGTGTGAGGTTCATGTGGAATTTATTTGTACTGTGCTTTTGTTTTTCATGGTTGCACTTTGGTCCTTGACAGATCTATCTCCATTCTCTTGCTTTCTTCCCTACTACCTTTTTAGGATCTTCATCTGTTTCCTCCTCATTTTGTTTACCTTTCTTGTCCGATTTAGTTACAGTCTGAAGAGCTTTCTCCTCCTTAACTTTCGTTTTGGCCTTTATTAGCCCAGTTTCTGTTGTTTTTGTCTCTGCCTGCTTGACCTTCTCTGCCGTCTTTGCTTCTCCTTTTCCATCCTTCACTTCCTTTTTGACTTTTGCTTCCACTTTAGTGCTCTTTACTTTCTTCTCCTCTGCAGACAATAAAGAAAAAGTTTTCAGTGTCACTCTCTTCCCCCAACATAATATTCAGTGCCACTTTTATTCTCAATAAAACTTGAAAATTTTATTTTGAAATTCAACAGATTTTGAAAGGGATCAAGCATAGAATTAAACCCTGGATGTTCTAGAAACATTTTAATTCTGATTATATATTCATTTCATTTTAGTTTCATGCAGCTGATTTCTCACACACATTTAAAATCTCTGCTTGAATAAAATAAAGTTTACACATTCAATGTCAATTCAGCTTAAAAACCTGTAGTATAGATAAATAAATACCTTTGGGAGGAGGCTTCTTTTCAGTTTTTTCATGTCTTTCAGGTGCATCTTTTTGAGTTACTAGAAATGAGAACAACTGTATATTAGTGAAAAATCTCACAAAGAACAAGAAAATTTTGCCAAAACACATCATCTCTGGAAATTTCACATTTCCTTACAATTCCTGTTTTCTAGTTTTCGAAATTGTTTTCAGTTTCATATAGCGGGGTAAAAAACTTCAAAATATCTGTTGAGGCTCCCTTACAAGAAGACAAGTGAGTCACACAGATCTGAAGCTTCCTAGGGAATGTTTTTACTACATATTCCAGATGAAACAAACTTGCTCATGTCAAGTGCTGAGCAGACACGGAATTGGCTTTGTGCTACAGCCAACAGGAACCCATGTGGCTGTATTTGTTTTGCACAAAGGTGTTTTTCTTAGCTTGGTCTCATTGTCAACAAACACAGCCATAAGTCTGGTGTTCACTTCAGAGCCCAGCTTGAGTGAGTTCATGTCTGCATAAGATACACTGTGTAAACACACACACACACGACTGTGTTCCAGAAAGGCTGCTAAAATTTTATGCAGACCTCTATCTTTGCCCTCCTGGTTACCATCCAGACAGAATACCAGTACAAACCAGCCTTGAGAGTCAATTACACTTCTTTCAAGTGATAATTACATAATAACAATCCTCTCTAACTGAATTCCATCCTGGAACTCCAGCCTGTACGAGACATGATTGATACTTACACTTGGTTTTATTTTTTTAAGATGTTTTTAGATGATGTGTTTAAAAACCACTCATATCACTGAGGCTTTCTGGAGCCTTTACCAGAGTCTCAAGAATTACCTTGAGTCTCTGTAATGAGCATAAAGAAAACCTGCTGACTGTGTGGGAAGTAGCCACACAGTTCTCAGTACGTCCATTCCCCAGAGCTGGCCAGAACCTGAACATTTCATTTCCTAGGGACTGCAAGTGGTTTGAAGCAGCCCCTCAGCACTGCTGGTAGCTAATCCAGTTTAGAGCAGATCCCTGAGAAAAGGGAGGTGGGCCTGGCAATGAAAAACTCAGCAGCACAGTGCTGGCAGAAATGCACCTTTGGACATGCTGAGGAAAACTGACCTCATGCCCTGATGCCATAGGGGCTCATGGCAGGGAAACCACCCAAGAGAGGGCAGCATGGCTATGTCACACTGCAGCCACAAAGATCTGCAGCTACAGTGTCCAAATCCTTCAGAAAATTTCCCAGCCAGTGACTGGAGTCATGGCTGCTATTAAACACATTAAGGCTCTGAGTGATTATTTGGGTTAGCTAGCAGAAGATAAATGGGTAAAGAGGCCGGCTGCTTATTAGGACTATCTCAGTGATTCTTGGAAGTTATTTGCTTTCCAAATCAACACAGACACTATGGGCATTTATTTTCTCTGGCTTACTTCAGCATGATTTCATTTTATGAAAAAAAAATCCCACACTTTCAAGCTATACACTGAAAGTAGAAAAAAAATGAACAATATCCCTGTAAAAGAGAGACTGGACTACGGCTACCCTTCAAAGTTTTTTTAAGGCTTTAAGTCTTCATTCTGCTTGCTTACTTTCTTCACTTTTACTTTCTGTTTTACATTTCTCCTTAGACTATGATAAAGTAAAAAAAAAGAGTGATTTGTACATTTGTATCTATATTGTCTGAACATATTCAAATTAAACCTAGTTAATTCATGCATCTCAACATCATGGGATTAATCTCAATGCCATAACAAACTGATATGAATTTGGTTGTATACTATTTCTTCAAGAATCAACTGAGTAAAATAAAAAGAGACAAAGACTGAAAATGAACTTCATTATAGAAATATCTGCCATGGAGAAATATCTAACCTCAGAGAAAAACATTCAAATGCCAAGCAATAATAAATGTTAGTCTTTAAAAAATGGCATAATAGGGCAAGGCAATTGGATTTTTAAATTTCCCTGCCCAAAACATAGCCAAAGATGGAATCATCAGTCAAAAGAATAGAAAAAATCACGTCTCACACAATATTGCTTCATAATATATATGATAATTATTAGATGTGTAAATCTTAACCAAAGCCACTGCTGCCATAGAAGACAGTGCAAATCATATACTGAAATTAAAATGTTATTGAAAAAAATAAAGGCAAGAAAATGAAATTCTATTTTTGGATATGATGGAAGACCCAGATTGAGAGATAGTAAATACTCTTGCATTAGTCTGCATCCAGTTGAAAACTAATACACAAGAGAAAAACTTCTTTGCAGGCAAATTACTGAATCCCTTTGTGGAGAAAAAGGCATAAGGGAATGCAAAGAAAATAGTCATAGGTTTCATTCTTCAGCTGTGTAAGGATGATTTGTAATAAACTCCATGCATCTAAACAGGTGAGTAAAGCACAAAAAAATCTGCTGAGCAAGGTTTCACTCGGGCTGATCGACCTCCTTAAGCAAAAGAGACAACACCCAAAAAGTGTTCTACATGAACTAGAAGGGCTTTGTACTTTAAATACTTATCTCCACACTCTCCCAAGATTTCAAACACTTAAATTGTACAACTTTTAATAATGATCATCAATACCTTTAGATGGTGCTTTCTTTTCTTGTTTTTCTGGCTTTACAGGTTTCTCTTTGTGAACAGCTAGAAATAAAACCAATAATCTTTATAAAAAAAAGTTGCATTTGAATGAGAAAAAGGGTGAAGAAACACCAGTAGGCACAATGGTCATGCATGCAAAGAATGAGAAAGATTGATTCAGCTGCTGCTGTTTGTTGTTGATGCCAAAACATGGAACTGGAACTTTCAAAATCTCATCTGCCATCACTGAGGTCTTTGCCATTGGCTGGAGGAGCAGCAGCCTTTCTAGCTCCAGTAATCCCATGAAAGAAAAGAGTCAAAAAGAGTCGTACTTATTTCTATTGCTTTTTTTCTTTTTTAATATATTTATATTCTGTATTTTATTGGTTTATTTTGGTTTATTGTTATTTTTTAGCTTTCTTGTTTATTACTTTGGACACTTTCTGAAGGATTTCTGAACTCCACAGAACAACTAACAGTTTTTCCAGCTATGAATGATTAAGCACTATAATTAATTACAAATATAATTGCAGTGACATTATAACTAATGTTCTTTGGGACTTTTTGTTTGCTTTTAATTTCCACCTTACAAATTGAAATTAACTGCTCTGTAGTTCCCAGATTTCTGGCTCAGGTTTCAGAATACACCCAAGTTATGCAGTAGTCACTGAGTAGTGGATAATCTGAAATATTCTCCTGTTTAGGCTCTGATTTGCTAATTTTTGGGAATAAAGTGTGCACAGTAGCTTGTCCATGGATGTGCAGAACTGATATATGCATGGGCTGATGTGCCCTGAGGTGACCTACAGGGATCATGTGTGTGAAAACACACAGTTCCCTATCTGAGTACAGGGTATGAGATTATCCTAGGAACACAAAAATGTATGCATGAGCATGGAGCTGGTGTTTAAAAACAAAGTAAGAACTGGGGAAGATAAAACAGTGCTAGATTTCTATTTACTGCAAGTAACTACTGAAAGAACTGGTCCTGGCATACTCAGTGGCCCTGTGCAGTATTTTATTTAAAATGCATATTTTTTCCACATGGCCTTCCTGATTACCTCTGTGAAAGGGCTGTCAGGTGCCTTTTTCTTGGGTGACCATAGTCTCTTAGCAACCATTCTTATTGCAAGTGTTGGAAATACTCAGTGATTATCATAAGATTACACTAATCCAGAGTACAAAATATATTATCTCCCTTCCGCAGGAAAAAACCAAACCAACAAAAAACATGCAGAAGGAATATTAAATGCTATTTAGTGTGTAAGACTACAAATTTGTTATGATTTCATTATTTTTATTCATAACACTTAATAACACTTTTTTTCTGCAATCAAAGGGATACATAAATGGAAATTGAGTAGAGAATAAGCTTTAGGGTACCTCCTAATGTAAAATAAATTCTGACATTAAATAATTACCTGCATGCCTTTCCTTTTTTTCAGGTTTTTCTTGTCTTTCCAGTTTGTCTTTACTTGTCACTAAGAAAGAAAAAAAGTTTTATATATATACACAAAAAGAAAAAGTGGGAAAAATTAAGCTGTTAAAACAATTTCACCATGGATGCCTTGGGATACTAAGTGGAAGAGTGTGTTACTGCTGAGCTGCCCGTGCATATTTTTCCAGTGTACATCATACTACAGGGTGAGAGCAGCCAGCTCTGGCTAACGAGTTACTGCCATGGTAACATGCCTCAGCTGCTTGCTGCATAACATCAGCTCTTGCAATTGTCTGTCAATTCCAGAAGAATTCCAGAAAACTGTTGGTTACTAAGGCACAGCTCACAGTAAATGCTGCTGCCTGGGATAGGAAGAGGGCTTCACCTTGGCCACCCCATACTCAGACAGACACAGGTTGTAAAAACCCTGGAATCAATCTCGGAGCAGGAGAGAATCACATGTGCAAATGATACATCTGTGGCTTGCTTGAAATGGATAACCAGTAAGGGATAGGGATGGTTAGTAATGGATACAGACATGGACACTAGCTGAGATCAGTCCCTGCAATGACGATAACAGAACCATAATTAGATACCCAGTATGTGCAAAGCAAAACTAACATTATGACAGTGGAAACTGCATTATGCTATCCACTCTTTCACAGAACATTTTCCACTCACTTTTCTTAGGATTTTGCAATTACACTGTAATGTTCCAGAAAATGAAAAATAAGTGTGTGGGTTTTAGAGCACTTCTGAAAGAACAGCTGTGAAAATGCAAGCCTAGCTTAAGTCTCACTCCTGTGGAGATTTCATCCATGTTTAGCAAAACTCCTTTTGTCTAACATGAGGAGATAAAAACTTCTTTTACAGTACCATGAATTAATATGTAACGGGATGCAAAAAAGAGTGGTAGGCAATATTTAGGCTCCCACATTTTTAAGCCATATAGTGATGAAATACTTGAGAATATGGCTGACATCTCTGACTGAGACACTGCTAAGTGACTGAGACACTTATAATTACTCTCTGCATCATTAAATAACTTTCTTAAACTTCATCTCAGAAGTTGATTATAGATTAGAATAGGATGCTATTTATATGCACCATTAGCTTGATCTTGAAAAGGCAATGTATTTAATGTATAAAATAGGCAGCACAAATACAGGGATGCAGTCTCTAGGGTCTCTCAGTCACACTATAATGAAATGGACCTCAGAAAGACACACATTCATAGTCTTAGTTATGAAATTTAATGTACAGTCTGGAAATAATGTTTATTAGCACTGTGAATACAGAGAATCTCTGTACACAGTAGTATTTCCATAGCAGTTTGGCAATAGTTCACTACATAAAACAAATAGTTGACTTCAAGAAAAAATACTACTAGGTATTCAGAATATTAATAGGATTTATGGCAAGCTAAGGCAGTATAATTGTCTTTTTTCTTTCCACTGGCTATCTGAGTTTGGCTGGGATAATCTTTTTCTTGTTCTAATAAACTTAATAAAAGATTAAATATTGTTCTCCTGTGAAATCAAGTTGAAGAGTTCCACAGGTTTTCCACATTATAACAGAATTCTTAAAGATAAATTCATGTTTTAATATGGGACATTATTGCTTTTGCTTTGTAATTTTTCTAAACCCCAGAAAAAATTTCCCATGTTGTCACCATTCTATTTTCTACCAATAAATATTCATTCTAAGAGACAACTCAATTTATATGCCTGCCATTAACTTCTAAAATCAGTCTTGTTAGCTCAAGGCACTTTGAATTACTTATATGAAATGGAAAAGCTCCAATCAGAGACTGTTAGAAAGGCCTTGTCAAGCACAGCTTTCAGGAAGTTCACTTGAGTTCAAGTCTGCTGTGGCTGGATATTTGGTCTTCCCTTCTGGTTTTTTTTGTTGTTTTTTTTTTTTTTTGTTTTTTTTTTTTGTAATTAATTATGATCACTGGCCTGTTTGCTTTTTCAGAATATTTTTCTTCCTCCAGCCCAAGACTTCATTAGCCCCAGCCCAAGACTTCATTAGCCATAGATTAGTGCAAAGGACATGTTCTCAGAAGAATTGTTTTGACAAGTAGGTGCACACCACCAAAATTTCATTTGGCTAAAATGTCCTCACAAAAAGTAAAATAGACAGGGGCTATTGTAACCCAGAGATAACTCATGAGTTGTGGGTGGAGAGTAAGCAGTATCCTGGTTCTGACTCCTACAACAGATCTGTTATTTGCTGTTGGCATACACCGCTAGGAAATTATTAAATTCTCTCTAAAACCTCTCCCCAGTGTCTCTGAAATTAAGAGAGGAACTTATTCTTTTTTCCTTTTTACCCTTTTTCTCTCTATTTTAAGCAGATTTCCAAAGTAGAATGTCTACATGGACCATTTCCAGTATGTTATAATTGACTAATTACTTTTTGGTGGAAAATATTCTCAAGGGCAAATAATATGCTTGGATTTATTCAAGAAGAATAAAAAGAACACCAATTTGTGCTCGAGGTACTTTTACTTAACTTACTAGTACAGTAAAGACTATCTGAATGTAATTGCAGCTATTCTGTAGAGTGATTATTCAAATTGTTTTTATAAACCTCATTCTCCTTCCAGCTGGCTTTCACAACACCTCCTCCATCCTTAAACATTATTGGGATTACAAGAACAGAGTCAATAGATTAGACTATTTTGAATCACTGATAAAAAGGCAGGGAATATCAAAAGCTGAATACATACCCTTTGGGGGCTCCTTCCTCTCAGTTTTTTCTTGTTTTTCAGGTTTGTCTCTCTGTGTTGCTACAAATAATAAACAAAAAAATAAACCCCAGCTCATAATAAATCTTTAATCTAGATGTATTGAAAACACTTATTATCTCATGAAAATGATCAAGGAAAAGCATTCATAAACCCAAATAATGAATGTTAGCTCTGAGTCACAGGTACTTGATGATGTATAGACCTTCTGAATGTCAACATCTAATTCCAGGTCCAAGAGAAATATTTTCCTTGAATAAGTCTTCAGATTTCAGACCACATTTTTCTGAAAGAAGTGATTATTCAGCAACCTCAATCTAATCTGTCCTTTCTCTTTTGGTCTCATTACACAACCACCCTGACTCTTAGATTTCTGACAGAGGAAATTATTTTCAGCCCTTGACAGCATTGCTTTCTATTCTTAACAAAAAAACTGACCAGCATATTGCTTTCTATGCTATTTTTTCTTTATTTTTAGCTGTCACTTCCGTCACAGGATGGATTAACAAGAAAACATCTCTTTTAATCAGAGTGTAACCTCAGGAAGAGCAGCTGTTCAAAACACAACTGACTCCATGTCCTGCAAGAGGCAGGCAAACACGAGTCCTTCTAGACTCTCTTGCCCACCTAGGTCTCAGACCATGGTATGAAGTGGTTCAATCCCACATACTAATGGTTTTATTCCTAGTAAACCCATACTACTAAAAGACTAGAATTTCATAATTTCAGGGAAATATTGTTTTCTTTCCTGTACCTAGGTTTCTGGGAAAAAAGTAAAACAAATTCTGATTAGAAGACAGTGAGCTTTATAAACAAGCACATTATGCTTTTGTATCTATTCATTTCACCAGCTCTGTGATGAACGCCATTTCACAAAAGGGCAAGCACTTTTTTGTTGGCTGAGTGTTTTCACATTAAAAAGCAAGTTGTAATGATTAAGAAAAATCATTCAGAACATTCAGTAAATTCATTATGTCTCACATGTGTTTGGGTTATCCAAAATTCACTTTCAGTCATAACAAATAAATTGTTGTGATAAAAAAACAGCCGTACAGTTGAAAAAGACTGAAGAGAGATATTTCAAAGTCTTTAAAGAATGTGGACAGCAAATTTACACCAGAAAAACAGGCTGTGAAGAAAACAGCAGCACCAGAAAACAGCAGCACCAGCAATGTATTATTGAATGAATTACAGACTGCAACTCATCCAAATGCTGTAGTAGAGCTAGGAACATACCAAGAAAAAAAACATTCTCCAAACTGAGTATTTTTGCAGAAATTGTAACATGCTTTTACATCTTGCATTTGTATTAGCAGATGCTGGCTCTATCTTAGGCACTTTTGTCAGTTTTGGCAGGACCAGCAGCAGAGTTTTGCAAACAATGTGATGGTCAGTGTGAGCGAAACATGAGCTTCTGCACATTCAACAAAAGCTCTTGTAGTCTCTATGCCAAAAAATACAGCTGAACTATGCAGAACAGATTGATAATCAGAAAGCTTGTTTTTATCCACAGGGCATCTTACTTGTGAAAGAGAGATTATTGTGGGTTTTTTAAAATTTGAAGTGGTTTTTCTATAGCATTTCCTTATGTCATGACTTGAGAAAAAAAAAACACATAACAACAGGAAAACAAACCAAAGAACCGAAAAGAAATCAAAACAAACAAAACCCATATCCACAGATCAAACCCATAAAATGAGCCTTGAACAACACTAACTGAATTGAATGTCAGGAGAACTGATAGTGGATAGAAAAATCTAATTTAAATTTGTTTCACATTCTCAAAATGATGTAAACAGCAAAACCACAAGGAAATACTAATATTTTTTGTGGACTGCAGCTTAAAACATGAAGAAGGGATAAGTTGGCCCCTTCTTGAGAAAGAAAAGTAACTTGATGTATCTGGGCAGGGAGCCTGGAATGTGGATAAGCAGAGACCAGGCTGGCATAAGCATAAGCTATTTTTCTCTTCCCAATTATAGGCTGAAGGTGATCTCTGGTTAGTTTGAGAGCCTTATCCTGTGTGCTGATATCCCCATAGCCTCAGAGGTTGCTAATCTCAGATTGTAATGTTTATCATTCCCTCTTATGGGCACTGTCAGAGCCATGGCTTCCCTTATTTGGGAAGGGCAGGTGCTGCCAAAAATTAAAGTGTTCATGTTTCAGGGCTGTGATCACTGGCCATTTTTGACTCTTCAGTCACAAGACCAACAAAATCTATTGAAGCTTTTGTTCGGACAAATGTAAATCGGATGTTTCTTAGCATATTAAATCTCCCCTGAAATATTTTCTTGTTCAACTTTATATGTAGTTATAAAAACTCTGTCATAGAAAATACATCACTGTCTACAGATCATTTCCATATTTTGTCATTTGGATATATTTTTCCTTGTCAAGGGCTTAATACTTGCTCTTTCTCAAGCCCAAAGTTCCAGGTACAATCATTAATTTTAGAATTAGCCTGGCTGGCCATATTGCCATGTTTCTGTGAGAAAAAATTAGAATTGATTGGATGTTAGTTTCCATTAAAATATAAAGGGGGAAGAAAGAGCACAAACATAAAAAAAGTTTTTAAGACTACTTGCACACTCTTCAGCTGAAAAATGCTGAAACTAAAACTGTTCATTCAACTTGAATTCAATAATTTTAGTAGCTTTATGACACATTTTGTAGTTAAAAGATCACCTCTTTTATTGCTTTTGCTACTAGGACGCTGGTGACAACCATAAGAAAAAATAGACTTAAAGTCAAGTAGATTTCTGGCAATAGTGGAAGCTAAAATTTTTCCACAAATTAATAGGAATTTTCTTGGACTTCTTTGCGAATACCAAAAAGTCATAAGCTCAGACTGAAGTCTTATTAACATTGCAAAAAATATAACATCCCAACCTAATTTTCACTAACCTAGATTTTGGAAATTGTTGAAACATTTTTGCATGTCTTTGAATGAAAATTCAGCCTGAGGCAAAAAAATGAACATGGGAAATCTCATCCTAAGTGACTGGAGTGTGATAAATTTATAAATAATCTAAAATAGAAGCTCATAATAGAAAATTTTAAGGTAATTCAACTATGTATTCCAAATTTAATATTGCTATCTACTTCACAGAAAAATAAAAATAAGAAGGGTTGCATATATGTGAGAGGATTTTCCTAATTTCAATCAGCATCATAGATTTTATTTGCATCAAATTGAAGATATAGTGAAGGGGGACGTGATTTAGTTTGTCTTGGATAGTTCTCCAACAAAGACATTCCACCTTCCAAAACAGAAAGTGTGAAAAGAAGAGGTGTAGTAAGGCACTACTTCTGTACCTAAAAGAAGCAAAAATAGTTTCCAGCTGAGTAAGTCTTAAGTCTGCTGCTTAGTGCAAAGCCAGGTGCTGAGTGCAGTAAGCATGAAGCAGAGACTGCTTGCTCCAGCTAACAGACTGAGTGCTTGTCTACAGAGCAGCACTCTCAGGAAAGTTAAGATAAATGAACTAATACAATGAAGTTGGAGTGCATTAGTCAGAGAGCATTAAATCTCTGACTAGATGCTTTCATTCGGAAGCAAAGCAACTTTAGATGGCTACAACTTAATTCTTCCTGAAGGAATGTTGAAAAAAAAAAAATGGTTTGGTCTGGAGAGAGGCACAGACTTCCAGGTTCAAATACATAATTTTAGGAAACCACAGCTATGTTGCCATCTGTACCATGTTCTCCAGATTTAAGTTAATGCAGGCATAGTTGTAGCTGTAATTTGAGAAATCGGGCGAGACAGATTTGTCTGTGCGCAAAATAGGCATTTTAATTTATTAACTTGGTGAGATTATGTGGGTTTCTAGAACACTAGGATTTGTATGATCTAGCTCTATTTATCTATTTAGCTGTCTCAAATACTTTGTCTTTAGCTACAGCAAATTAACCATCATTACATTGTCCTCTTCCATACCTCACCCCAACAGCAATGTATTAGTGAAGTGATTTTGGGAAAAGTCATATAGTAAATAAACGTTTTCCCATTCCTTCTCAATGCCTGTTTCAGTTAGAGCTATTTCCCAGAAATGCAGGGCAATTCATTTCACTGGTAAGATCAGTTTTCCATAAAAATCAGAAATTGTCATTGGATCTTCCATTAGACAGAAATTCTGTACTTACATATACTTTTATCTCGATATTTTTTACTATTGTTCTAACTTTTTGCCAAAATAATGTGTAATTAACTCTTATTGGTAGTAATAGTAATAACAATTATATCACCTATTTCTTAAACAGACTCCAGAAGCAACTCAAAGTCCTGCAAAATCTATCTAGAACATAATATCTAGATGCTCAGGAGAGTTTTGTATAGAAAGATAATCAATCCCTTGTGCCTCTGCTGGATGATCAAGCTCCTGGTCACGCAGTCCAGGTGCCACTGCATTCGTGAAATTACTAATACCACAAATACCAAATTGGAAAGACCCTAACTTGTATATGTTATCATGAAATAATTTGATTTCAGGGCTCTTAAGCATGACCAATGGCTTTGTGAAATTATTTCTCAGAGTATTTCTTCTTTCCAAGATTAAATTGGTTACAATAATTGGAATAGACATTATTGCTAGTAGTTTATCAAAATATTTAATTAAAAGCAAATTTTAGGGCATCAGTTTGCCCAGCTCTCAATACTGCTTGAATCTTTTAATTTCAGTCACTTCCATCTGGGATTTTTATTCATTATAACTGTTCCTCATATTTCACTTCAATCTTTTAAAAACGAGGCTTATAGATTGAACTCCCTTGTAAATTGTGGGACTTGAACTCAGAGGATTTGACTATTCAAAAAAATACAATAAAATTACTTTTAAAACTCTAGTGCTCCCTCATGTTGGGCAGAAGACAGAAATGTTTTTTCCATTTCTTGCTATTAAAAATATTAATTTTACTTCTGAATTTTTTTTCTGTTAAAAACAATAAAAGACTATTTGTGCATATTTCCTGAAGGTACTTTAGAAGGTAACAGTAAAATTCCCTAAGGATTCATGCCTTTATCACACTGTAGACAGGGGCCAGACAGAAGTTTTCTTGTCATTGTTCCTCCTATGTACAAGTTGCATTGTTAAGATAAAACATGAGAACAAATTAGAGGAAAAAAATTGTTTTGTACTTCAGCAACTGATTGTATAACTAGAGACTGCATTATCAGGCACATAAATAATGGGATTTAACTAATGACACCTGAACACTTTTTTTTTCTGGCATCTTATAATTTCTTTGCAATAATTTCTGCAATGTTATTATTTTGTGCAAAGAAATGCACTTTTGTATGGATTAAATGGTACACAAGAGGCTGTTTTGGCCAAGAGTGCAACATCATTTGTGTTCTTAGATTACATTGCTTGAAAAGACCTTAACTGGGATCCTTGCTTATGGATATGGGTTCATTATTGTCTGGCTTGCCCACTGGTATCCTAAAAAATTCATTTTGATAAAACATGATTTATTAAGTAGTTGGGAAACCATTCCAGGCAGTTCAGATGACCCTGATTAGTGCAGAACTGGAGCTGAAAAATACCATAAAAACATTTTACAGAGGTGTAAAATACTATAAAGTCACACTAAGAATAGATGCAGAAATGAATCTAATTGCATGAGGGAGGGTGTATGTGTACACACAATATTTTTAATAAGCCTCCTTCTTGCTTCCTCCTGCCACTATCAAGCTGAGCACCAGTGCGTTAGAGGGATGGCCTAGACTTTATGGAGGAGCTCTGTTAGGCAAAAAAACCCCCTTCAGATATCCCAGAAAACACCTTTGTTTGTATGATCTCTGAAAACCAGTCCAAACAAGTTCCTCTGTGCATTTTCGGAGAGTGCCAGTTATAGGAGATTAAACAGTTTGAAAAAGAGCAGGTTCTTAAAATGGAACTTTTCTTATCTCTGATACACACCTGGCTCACTCTTAGCTATGACTTCCTAACTTGGGTGGCACCCACTGGCCTATAAATTTACTTTCTTCCTTGCCCAACTCACTTCATGCCTTTTGCACCAGAGGAAGTTCATCAACACTCAACTTTCTTGCACTTTTACTAGAAAAAAGATTTCTGGAAAAGTTTGGGCAGGAGAATCTTATTATGAATGTGCATTTTCAATCTAGCTACACAAGCATAAAGTTACATTTTTTTTCTTGTTAATGCTTAGGTATACATGAATTTTTGATTCTTTGCAGTCTGTGCCAGCTGGCGTTTGAATGCTTCTAGGATACAAGAGGAATAGTTAACCAAGCTAACAAAAATTATGGTTTTGTTAACAAAGACACTGTATGTTACACAAATATATGTGGACAAACAGACAAAAAAACCCAGTTACCCTTTGCTGGTGTTCGTTTTTCAGGTCTCTCAGTTTTCTGCTTTTGAATTTCTGAAAAAAAATGCAACGCAGATTCGTCAATATTAAAATAATTTTCACACACAAAAATATCAGATGCATTCTCATATTAAAAAAATTATTTAAAAGTGCTTAAAATATTATGGCTGCACCACAGCTTTATCACCTGCATAGTCAGTTACATACAATAGAGTTCAATTTTATATATATACATAGAAAATATATTTGGATAAAAATCACAATATTAAGTGTCTTTAATAATTTTTCTGTTTTTAATTGAGCCACACAACTACTTTTAAAAGCAAGAATAGGTTTTGCTCATCTGTAACAGCTATGCAGTAACATGTGTTGGTCATGATTCAGAAAAACATTATTTGCTAAACATTTTTCATATTTATCTTGAGTTGTTTACCAAGATTAATATTTTATGTTTTCCAAACTACCTTTGGAAGGAAAAATGTTCTTTTCACTAAATTTTCTAAAATTTTTAAAGCTCACATACTGAATCTTTAAGTCCAACACACAATAAAAGGTAGACTCAATACTCTATACAAACTACAAAGATAAAAAGTTCCCAGGTTAGGGATTATTGTCTTGGAGAATGACTCATTTTGATCATGCTGCACACCAAAATCTGAGAACTGTCTTCCTTAGAGGAGGAAGGGGCAGAGTGTTTATCTGCCCTTGTTATGCATTTCCTTTTGAACGAAATTTTTCAGCTGCAATATTGATATTAAATTGCTGCTATATACCTCCATGTAAATCTTTTTCCTACTGTCCTTATTGTGTCAAAACAAGGATAATATAAAAAAAGGTAAAATGCTGAATTTTTGAAAAAGCAAACAGAATTAAATCAAATCTTTTCACACAATTGTAGAAATTTAAAGAGCATTTATTTTAGCACTGCAACAAAGTCATTAAGGCTATACAGAGTGCCTGGGTTATCATATTGTGCAAATATTTTCTGCTGAAGGAAAGCAGTCTAAAACACTGTATGAAGTTTGTTTTTGACAAAAGCAAATGCAAATCTCTCTAGACTCTGTGGGAGAGAACTTCTTGTATTTCAGTGTTACCTGTGGTCTGCAGGGTCTAAATAACAAGAACTCTGACCCCAAAAATTAATACAACAGAGGAAAAGTTATGCATATTACATCTCAAGTCTAAGCTACTCTAATGCCTGTTGAAGACAACTGAAATATTTCACTTACAACCTTAGTCATTTTCTCAGGATACACATTGCCAAAGAAATCCAGTAGGAAACAAAAGTTCCCCTTCCCAGATATTTACCTAAGCCCTTGAAAATAATGCAGAATGTTTTTATTGTACAGTATTTGGTATCTGAAATAATTATTGTGTGGTTTGCAAAAACATAGCTATTCTATGACATCAAGCTATGTTGTCTTCAGATAGAGAGAATATTTTTTCACGGAGATAAAGAGTAATAAAGGGTAAAAGACATCACTGTTAACCACTAATGTATGGAAACATAACTAAGCTAATTATATGATGTCATTAGGCTAAAAGAAGTTTTTATTCAGTTCTCCTCTTGCTGTTTTCAGCCTGGGTGGCAGTTCATTTAAAGTTCTATAAACCTCAAAGGGTGAGAATAGAATATACTCTACTGATTTACTGTGTTTCAGCTGAGCCTGGATTATTTTTATTTCAAACATTTGAGGATATTTTATTTCTATTGACTGAGAGAATCCTGCTGCTGCATTTTCAAACGTTTCCCACTTGTTTTGCTTAAATGGCTACATTTATGGTCCAGTTTAGGTACCATAAGTGGTAGGAATGATGCAAGACAGTAACAGATGGAAGATTGCTCCCTAATTCTGGGCACATCTGAGCAGTTCTCCATGCCACTACCTTCAAACACTGACTCAGGGGACTTAAAGAAAGCTGAGTCACTTCCTCTGCATTGCAAAATTCAGTGGAGACATATCTCACCCAGTACAAGAGGTCACCTTACATACTGAGATGAATATGAATAAATCATATTCTTCAGGCAGAGTCACACAGACACATATTCCTTGCCTGCTTTAAAATGCCTCAGCTCTGCTGCATTTCTACCCTATATTATGTGTCTCACTACAGAAAACAGCCTATTTCTCTTTAAAAAATAAGTATAAAATAAGAATAAATCCTTGTTATTTAAAAATAAAGTTTTAAAATTACTTTTGATTTAGAGAAATTACTGCTAGTTTGACTGGAAAATATGTATGGAGCAATGGATGTAGAGCTGGTTATTTAAATCAGGCTCACACTGTATCAGTAGTGAAGCTTGCTTCAAACAAATATTCCAGCAAATTGCACAAAAAGATACCTTTTTAGATGGACACACTGAGAACCTCATCTAATATTCTGCTACGATTAGGATACCACACATCACAAAGAAAACTCCACACATCACAAAGAATTCACAAATTCCTAGAAGTGAAGTACATCTTAACACACTAGAGTGTGCATATATGCATTTACACACTTAAAGTCTCTTCACAAACTTCCCATTAAAGTCTGAACCATCATAAAAAATTGCAGTGGTGTGGATCACATCAATTGTGACACATTACATCCCAAATTTTTCCAGTACAAATAAATCTAGTCTTAATATAAGCTAAACAAAATCAATTTACAAAACAGAAAATAACAACTATTTGTTAACTTCAAAGTATTTAAAATCAGGAAACATATTAGATTATTGGAGATTTTTTTTGTTGTTTTATGAGAGTTCTGATACTCTCTGCTTCATCTTTTATGACAAATAGCTTTAATTTTGTAGTAATCACATCATATCTTATTGCTGAGTTGACAAAGTGGTTCTAATATCATAGAAGACTTACATGGCCAGTTTAAAGCATGTAATTCATCTCTATCAGTGTGACACATTGTTAATAAGTCCTAAATATTACGAATTCATGTTTAGAAAAATGACAGAATCAAGCAGCAGCAAGGATAATCTTTGTCACCACAGCAACCATTTGGATTTTTCATGAGATGGCAGCGCAGTTTATTAAATTATTGTAAGGGAGTATGTATTTTAAAAGCTGCATTTCATTGTTTGTTTTTTTAAATTATTAGGCAGACATGAAAAATTATCTTTCCCCTTGTGTTGCTTGGGTTTTGAATAGATAAGTATTTCCTTAAATATGGATACTGCTTGATGATAATTTCTCTAGACCTCAGGTCTTGTGCAGATATACAGAACATACAGGGTGATTATTTTAAATAGGTCCAAGAAGGAAAGCTAGGAATCTTCTCACTGACCCTTTCAAGATGCTGAAAGGAGGCACACTCGACTATATTGCTGTCAGGCTGATTTATCTGTGTCCTGCTGACCCAAAACAGACCTTACCAGTCAGCTGAGGATCAGTATTGCAGGAAGCTTTATTGGAAATCCCTGCTGAGCAAGAGAGTCTGGGCAGCATCTTCCGCACCCCTCACCCAGCTAATTTTCATTAACAGCAGTTGACAGTGTCTAACGAGAGCAGAGCCCTGGCTGTGCACTCCAGCTCCGAGAAGATCAGGATGGGAGAAAATAATTTCAGTCCCTTGAATCTGCGTGAACTAAAGGGTCAGCACTGTGCACATTTGCATCAGTGTGAACGAAGAGCACAGCCCCTCATGCTAGGACATGAGGAGATTCTCCTGGTTCCCTTCTTTGTCTGCCTTTGTGTTTCTGATTTTGACTTTTTGTTATGCTTTTTTTTAATAACAGTAAAATGGATAGCATTATTCTCAGCTATTTCAATTTTACTGTGTTATAATAGCATCTATGAGCCTTAGCCTACATGAATTACTTTAGGTACCACATGGAGCTATGACATGATATAAATATCTCATCTCTGTAACACAGGAGTTCAAACTTAAGAGGGATGCATTTCTTCTCTTACTGGGAAAGCACAGCCTTGCATCTTGCTTCATTAGTGGATAAAATGATGAGTAGCATTCTGGTATTGTTGAAATAGAACCTACACCTCACCCTCCGCTGAGTTTCCATCTTACAGATTAAATGTACCTTTAAAAAAAATCCCCAAAATCATATTAAAAATGTCCATGATTTAAGAGACAAAGTGAGGAAAAAAAAGAGTCTCCATTTGAAACACAAGAATGCTTTACCCAAGGTAACCCAGAGAGTCAGCAAAGGAACTGGGGATTTACCTCTGAACCTGACATTCAACATTACCCTCCATGCTTAACACCAACCTGTTTCTACTTAAATACTGCAGTGAAGAAAGAATGTAGTTCTAATATATCTAGTGTTTTAAAGGTATAATTAAACAGATGCAATTTTCTATGAAATGAGAATAGATTTTTTTTCCCTAACAAATTTTACCAGCTGGTCTTCTTTTTCATCAGCTGTTACAGGTAACACAGCGATTTACACCCTCAGTGCTTTGACATTCTCTCTCTTACAAATAACTAAACGTGAAAAGGAAAATTAGTCCAACTCAGAGTCTGGCGAGCCAGAGGTTAATAATTTGCTTTTGAGCAGTTAAAATCCTTCTAGCTATTGCCAGCAATTTAGTGGGGCTATATCCTTGCTAGTTTAGCAGGACTAATTGGTAGCAGGCAGCTGATTATCCTGAAGAGTTGGTGGAAACAGATACTGAGGGCAAGGCTAGAGTGAGTGGTGTTAAGAGCTTTAGAAGATGGGAGATGTAATTTCTAATGTGTTTTTAGAAGTTTTCTGTGTAAAGAATTCTAGTCTACTCTCTTGCTGTTGGTATCCTCAGGAGATATTTGCAATTGTGCAGCTGATGTCTATTTTTAATCTAGATAGTACCAGCTGGTGAGGGTGACAGTTATCCTTGCGGGGCTAGGAGGAGAAGAAAGGAAGCTGTGCACGAGAGCAACTTCTCTCTGACTACTAATACATCAAGTAGCTGTGCTCCACAGGCAAAAACACCCACAGCAAAACCAAAAATCACCTTGCAACAGGAAAAAAAGTGCAGGGAAAAAAACAAAAAACAAAAAAGACCAAAAAAAAAAGCAAGCAGGAAAGCAGGAAATACTTGATTGGGGAATTAAATTGG